ATTAAAAAAATTAATCATTTAAATGATACGTCAAATTATATAAAAAAATAATATAAAAAATTATTTTAAAATTATGTTCTATTATAAACATCCTTAATTATCTCTCTACATAAGGTAATAATTTTATTATACTTCCCTCTACAATTACTTTTTTTTAGAGTTTTTTCTTTAAATTATAAAATATTATTAATTTGAGCATCCAAATGTTTTTCTTAATGAAATATCTTCAAGTTTTTCTTGATGAAATATCTTCAAATTTTTCAAGTGCGGGAGCACTGGTGAACCCAACAATAGAGTTTGGAAAGCAGCCCAAACACTAATTAACCTTTCAATCTTTGGCTCTTGTTTTGATGCATGAAATATTGGGATTTTTTTTTTTAGAATAAATGTTTGACAAATTGGATTGAAGTTTCTCGTTCGATTGTGGAAAACACTACCTTTCCTACAGACTCGATGGGTCTTTTAACTCATTCAAACAGTTCCTCAGCAATGATATGAATATGAAACCGTTCTCAAAATATTATTTTCTCAAGCTGTACACTGCTTTTCTTTCTGCAGAATCAATGTTCTAACTATCCAAGCCAAATGCAGTTTCAGAGGACTGCTTATTTTGTATTATTCCCTGCTGTTTCAGTTTAACACTTATCCAGTGCTGTTGCAGGTATAAACATAGTCCAAGTCCACCCGATTCCCAGGTGGCCCGCACTGGTCATCATCTATCACAACTTTCTCTGCCCCAACATCCTATATTCATGCCAAAAAAAATAATAATAATAATAATCACGAAACGATATATGATACAGACCAGAAACAAAGAAAGAGAAAGCAATCTCAAAGAAGGGAGAAAAAAAAAGAAGAAATCGGCGTACCCCTTGTTTTTTGGATTTGGTAAGCTCAGGATCAGGACGAGCATCATGGCTGAGAACTAAACAAAGGAGAATCCCACAGATGAGAAGGGAGGCGATCTTAGACATTTTTTTTGGATCAGTTGGATTAATTTCTGAGACCCCAGTTTTTTAACTTTAAGGGGTCAGTGACATCAATTTATATCACACTATGAGATAGGAGTGGACAAATCTAGAGAATTTTTGGTTCAAAGAATCCGTCAGGCATGGTGACTCACAGCATTGGAGATTTTGTTTTGGTTGATTTATAGTTTTTTTTTTTAAAAAAAAAAATAGTTGGTGGAGGTGTCCGAAAAAATTAATTTATAAATTAATATTAATTACTCTATCAATTATTAACGACCGGTATAACTATCACTCGTTCAAAATATTCAAATCAAACAAAGCTTAAATTTGGTGTATAACGCATTTTTGAGAAATCTATGCAACGGATAGGAATTGAATATATGGCTTTGCACCATAATTGAATATGGCTTCCGTTACTGTCCATTGGAGTAAATGTGTAAATATATGTCAATTTTGTACTTTTTTTTTTTATTTAAAAATATTAATTTTGTCAGTTTCTAAATAAAAATGTTAACTTTCAACTTTTTCCATTTAAGGATTAATTGGTGGTGATGCTTACGTTATTGACGTATTTTTTTAGGTTAAATGCCTAAATTAATCCCTCAACTTTTATTTTTAAACGAATTCATCCTTGAACTTTAGAAAATACCAAAAACATCCTTCAACTTCAATTTTCAGCACCAATTTCATTTTTTCGTCAGTTAAGTACTGATGTAGTTAATTTTTCCGCTAAGTGATTGATTATTTTACATTTTCTTTATTAGGTGGAAAATCCATCATGTAAAAAATGATTATGTGGATTTTTTTAATTTTAAATAATTTAAAAACCACTTTAATTCTTAATTTTACTTTATTTATATTTAAAAATTAAAACAATTAATATATTTTCCTATTTAATTAGTCTCACCTACCATAAGTAACTCTTAATTTATAAAGAAATAAATTAACTCTCATTTAATTTTATTAAATCAAATCTCACCTACTATAATTATTTCCTAATTCATGGAAGAATTAACTAACTTTTATTTAATTTTATTAAAAGGAATTAAAATAAAATTAAAATAATTTTTTGGTTCTTCTTCCTCGACCTTCTTTTTTGTTTAATTTATTAAAATAAACTGTAATTATTTCATAATTGATTCTTCCATGATTAAATTTCATTTAATAAAATTAAATAAAAGTTAATTGATTCTTTCATGAATTAAGAAATAATTATAGTAGGTGAGATTTAATTTAATAAAATTAAATAAGAGTTAATTTATTT